CCTGACTCAGTGATTGCAGCAAAGGAAAAAGAGAAAAAGTAAAAGACCCTCTACTTGGGATTTTACAGAGAAAGTTCAACCAAAGTACAAGATACCACATTATAATTTTGTGGGGAAAATGAGGCCAACAGCTAAATCAACCTGTGAGTCATCTTTGATTGTTGTTTTTTTTTTAAGGCATATTCTAACCTATATGTATTATCTACAGATTAAAATAAATTTGTATTCTGCAGTGTCGACATTGATGAAAACCACCATGGTGGTCCATGCAGTATTCAGAGTTTCAATGAAAAAGTTAAAAACATGTTTCTGCTCAACACAGGAAAGAACTGGTTTACTCATTATAGTCATCAATTAATCATCTATGTTAGCTGCTCAGAACATTAGCACAATGGGGTTTTTCTCAAGTCCAAAGCAAGTTTAGATCTTTCTCATGAGGGAAAAGGGTGAGAAAGAAAAACTGAAGCCTGGTTCTCTGAGTCCAGATACTAAGCTGCTCTCTCACTGGTGTTACCCCAGCCTAGGAAGAAACAGACTGAGAAGAAAACCTATCTAAACACACAAAAGAGGCATAGTCACTTAATAAGTTCCAGACTGAATGCCCACTTCAACGCAATTTCCTGCTGCTCATCAATAATGATCATCACACGTGGACTCACTGAAACTCACACAGCCACTTCTCCTGCACCCCCTGACTACTTCTGACCTTAACCTAATAAGGCACCATTAGCTCCATTTTACAGACAAGAAAACTGAGGCGACTAAAGGTGGCTGGTTTGCCCAAGGTCACACAGTGAGTAGGTCACAGATGAGCAGTTCAAAGCCAGCTCTACCTGACTCCAGCCTCACGCTTCAAGTTCTGATCATCACTGTCTCCCTGTTTTCAATGAAGTGACTTCCTTTATTAAAAAAATCAGGGCCCGGCCCTCCCTGGTGGCGCAGCAGGTTAAAGCACAGCACCGAGAAGCTAAAGCCACTTCTGCATGAGTTCGATACCCCCTTGCCCTGGAGGTGACCACATGGCGCGGCAGACCTCTCCTGACCCACCTGCTGCTCCCCTCAGCAGTGTACTTCCTCGATCTGCCTGTTCTGCTCCCCACTCTGTCTCTGGTGAATCCTCTCACTGCCCCTGCACCTCTGGCTTGTACCCCAGTTCTGTATGAATAAATAAATAAATCTTTAAAAAATATATTCAAAAGTTTTTCTCTCTGCCCAACTGCCAAAGCTTCCTGGGCTAAGAGTCTAATTCCAGGCCCTCCCTGGGGACGTAGCGGGTTAAAGCACAGCACTGAGAAACTAAAGCTGCTTCAGCACGAGTTTGATCCCCGCCAGAGAGCTGACCCGCATAGCACGGCAGACCTCTCCTGCCCACCCACTGTTCCCCTCAGCAGTGTACTTCATCAGCCAGCCTGTTCCTGCTCCCCACTCTGTCTCTGGTGAATCCTCTCACTGCCCCTGCACCTCTGGCTTGTACCCCAGTTCTGTATGCATAAATAAATAAATCTTTAAAAAATATATTCAAAAGTTTTTCTCTCTGCCCAACTGCCAAAGCTTCCTGGGCTAAGAGTCTAATTCCAGGCCCTCCCTGGGGACGTAGTGGGTTAAAGCACAGCACTGAGAAACTAAAGCTGCTTCAGCACGAGTTTGATCCCCGCCAGAGAGCTGACCCGCATAGCACGGCAGACCTCTCCTGCCCACCCACTGTTCCCCTCAGCAGTGTACTTCATCAGCCGGCCTGTTTTGCTCCCCACTCTGTCTCTGGTGAATCCTCTCACCATCCCTACACCGCTAGCCTGTACCCCAATTTTGTATGCATAAATAAATAAATCTTTAAAAAAAAGAGTCTAATTCTACCCAAAGACTTGTCTTAATTACATGAAGTCACAAATGAAGGTTCTAGGCTCCTCTGGAGAATGCTAGAGGGAAGTCTGCTTGCTGAACGGAGGCAGCCTCAAGCTGATCCAGAATGGAGGCCTTTCAGAACAGGGATTCTCGTCAGCAGACACAGTCCGAAACTACCCACACAGAGGTTGGGTTTAGAGAGAATGGGGAGCCATGTGGGAGTCAGGCTTTTGTCCTCTAGCACACCAAAGAAAGACCCTCCATCCTCATGCTCTGCTGAGCACACAGAAACCGGTACTCCCACCCCTTATGGACTTTCCATCTTTTCACTCTCAGCCGAGACAGCATCCCCACCCTCCATGACAGCAGGACAGCCATGGCGCTCAGCGCCTCCCCTGCCTGAAGACCACCTAACTGCCCCTGCCCAATAATGGAAGACCACACCCTCTTCCTGCATGACTGTGGCCTGGAGCCTGCACTTCAGCTTTTAGCTGGCACGTGGCTCGAGTGAGCACTACCCTGCCCCACATTGCCATGCAGCGAGGGTGGGTGTGGGCTTCAGCGTCAGCTAGCACAGGCTGGCACAAAAGTCGCAACAAACCCATCAGTGATGGCGCGTGAGTGTCCTTTGCCAACCTTTATCCTTCCCGCCTTCCCACTGGCAAATATAAAGGTGCAGTAGCTGGCTTAGCATCCTTCTCAGATCACAAGGTCACGTTGATCCTGGGGTAATGGAACCGAAAAACCGAAGGGAACCCAAGGCCATGGCCTCTGTGCTCTGACTTAGATGAGAAAGTAAAGGCCTAAATATGTTGTCCAAAATCTGTGTCCTGTTTTCATAAGATTCAGAGGAAATGAGTTCTCAAGCTGCCCAGATAAGGGATTTCTCTGGGGTTCCAAAATCAGTCCCAAATCACTCTGAGCATATCTGAGGATGACCTGCTCCCTCCATCATAAGCCTCTCTATGTTAGAGGCTGCCAATCTGCCCCATCCCATCCTGTGCCCAACTGCCAACACAGTGGCACACAGTGACCAGTGTCACAGCTAAAACCTGACTCACCTGGCAGGCAGCACCACCACTAAGCAACCCCACAGCCCGTCTTTCTCTCACACCAGATGCCACCCGCGGGGGCTGGGGGGAAATACTAAGAGCTGGTGGTGTCTGAGTGTGGCACCAGTAGGCTTGCCAATGCCACACTCTGGTCCAAGCATCTAATAGATGGCAGCAGCTGTGAGCAGTCAATGTACTCTAGCGACGTGCACTGTTCCTAGACCACTCCACAGATCAGCAACCTGAGACACAGAGCGGCTAAGTGACATTGCTGGAAAGACCCAGAGCCACCGGAGCACAGGACCCCACTCTACACTACCTCTAGGGCAAGGAGAAGAAAGATCGTTTTCTAAGGAAACACACATAACCTCTAAAAAGGCCACATCCCATTGCACACCTAAATTCTGCTTTACTTTCCTCCACCAGAAAATTCCGATCATTTTCTAAGCTTTGAAAAAAAGGGATCGCTTGCTTCAGATGGGTCATCACCTGCACACTTCCAAATGAAATGCCCCATCCTCTTAACAGACAACAGGTGGATAGGAGAGAAAATGATCAAAACTCACCCTGACCTCCGCATAAAACAAAGACAGACACAATTCATGGAAAGAAAGGCCACCTCAAAGATCAGCTACACATTCCACTCCAGCACCAACTGGAACTCTTTCTGAGAGGTCAGATAAAGTTCTAGAAAACAGTGTAACTATTTGAGTCAGGTTTTAGGATGTTACCACTTACAGGAATGTGGGGAGTCCTCCAGGGCAGTGCATGGAACTGGGGCTCTAAATTTGGATAGGAGAGGCCGGGTGGGCCCATCAGGCACACTGGCAGAGCCCGGGCAGCCCCAGGCCTCAGGTGAGAGGGTGCAGGAGTCTCAGAAGACAGTGGTGGCAGCAGGAGCATTCTGCAGCACTGACAAGGCCACCCACGCTCACCAGGGATCACTTTACCTTTCCCTGGAAGTGGAGGTGCTACAAAAACCGTCAGTCGATGCTAAGTCATCACTCAGACTCCTTCACGCTGAAACGCTTTGTTTTCCTACTCTAAACTCAGCTCACTAGGGTGGTCAACTTGCCCCTCAAACACAAGTCGGAAATGTGATGTTTCTGAGCAAAGTCAACCAGGCCTGGCCTAAAATTGAAAGGAAAACTAAACTCAAATGCCCACCGGGGCCAGGAATGGGTGAAGCAGGCCTCCCCGTTTGGGATAAACTGAGATAAAAGTGACTGTCCTATGTAAACAGCTGCTCTCAGTTCCAAACATGACTCTGACCAGAGCATGGGACCGATTTGCAGCAAAGCTGAAGCTGGAAATTCAGAGGTGTACGTGAAGGCTCCTTGTTCGACAATGTTGATGCCCAATTCAAAAAACGTTGAAGCCACCATAAGGGCTATATGGGTTATTTGTCCCCGCCCCGAGCCAGTTTGCGACCAGAGATAGCCGAGGCCACCTGGTGCATGATGAAGTCTCGGCCTCAGGTTGGGCATCCCTGGTGAAGGTCAAGGATTTCAAACCAGATGCAAGAACCCCCGACCAGTCCCTGGAGCCCTTCCTGTAACCAGCCAGCAGAACGAGTGGTTTAAATCAGGACCTGAGAGGCACCCCACCAGGACAGTCTTCCAACAAGCCAGAAGGCCCTGGGGATAACCACCGCCGCCTTCTAGGGCATGCGCCATCTTTCCAGCCAGCAACCACCTGTGGAGACCCCTGTCAGGCTGGGGGAAAGACAGAGCTGCAGACGTGGCCTGAGGGGGTTGGGGGGTGGCAGTTGAGAATGTCCTCTGAGAAGGGGCTCCTGGAGACACCGCCCCCAGAAGCAGCACTGGGCAGGTTCTGGAGACCACGCTTGCCCTCGCTTGCTGTTTGGTGCTGGGAGGGCGGACCACTCCTGGTATATGGGGCCTCAGGGCTGCAGGGGCCCTCCAGGAGGAAGGACCCTGGCCTGCACACATACACCTTAAAAGGCCCCTTCTGTGGTGATGAATTCCTAGCCTGGGAGGTCACCCTGACAGGCTGACTTCCTTCTCTCTGCCTAACTCAGAGACTTCCAGAAAGTCTTTTTCACCATCTCTTCCCACACTCCATCCCCAGAGCCCCACAGCCTACCTTGGCACTGGAATCCTTGCTTTCCGAAGCCCCTGCAAAGGCAGAAGGAGGGCGTCAGGCAGCCGGAGGGGCCCAGCCACCAGCTAGTTCCTTAGAGTCGCCCCCCCACCCCCGCCCCTTTAACCCCAGGTGCAACCTCCCTGCCACAGGCGGGTGCCCGAGTCTTCCGCCAGAGGGGGAGGGGGTAGAAGTGGGGAGCTCGGCGGTAACCCCTATCTCCCCTCAGAAGGCAGATCGAGGAGGCCGCGACCACCAGGTGGCGAGGTGGGGGGAGCGTTGTCGTGGGAGTGGTGGGGGCGGAGGGCAGGCGGGAGATCTACCCACTGGGATGCCCGAGTCCCCTCGCAGAAAGGGAAGGATAAAGATGCAGCCGGAAGGCAGATGAGAGAGACCCCGCGGCGGTGAAGTTCCCTGGGGGGCTAGGAAGGCTGAGCCGAGTCCCTGCACTTGGAGGGAGCGGGTGGGGGCGGGGGAGAAGGGTGCCCGCAGGGATGTGAGGGGGCAGACTGAGGCGTGCAGAGGGGAGCCCAGACCCTCAAGGAAGCGCAAAAAGAGAACACGAAGGTTTTTCCCGCTACCGCCCCCGACACGGAAAAGGAGGCAAGGACGCCCCCGGCCCGCAGACGCCGAGAGGACACCCTGAGCGCTGCCCCCGGGAAAGCGGGGAAGGAGGTGAAGGCGCCCCGACCCCGGAAGGAGGCGGAGAGAGAGGGAAACCCGGGTGAGGGGGCCCTGGAGGCGCTGCCCTCCCGGGAGGCACAGACACCCCGCGCTCCCAGCCAGGTGGAGGAAAGGCGCCCGCGGGGCTGCCCCTGGGCGCTCCGGAGGCGGCTGGAAGGAAGAGGGGACTGGAGGCGCCAGGCGGTCGCCCGTCTGGGGCCGGGGTACAGGGAACCCTCAGCGCTGTCCGCCAGGGAGTCTGGGGCAGAAGGAACCCGGGCGAGGAGCCGGAGAACGTAGTGGGTCGGCGGGGCTTCTTCTCCCTCGGGGGTGCGGAGAAGGGCTCCCCGCGCGCGGCGCAGCCCTCGGGGTCCCGGGAAGGTGCCCTGCGCGGCGCGCTCTCACCAGATGAAGTCGGTGCAGTGGCTGCAGAAGGTGGGCTGCTTGAAGAAGCGGGCGGTGAATTTGTGGTTCTTCACCTCGTGCACGTTCTTCTGCCGGAGGGCGCCTTTGCGGGCGAAGCGCACCGTGCTCTCTTCGCCCTCGTTCGGCGGCGGCCCCGCAGCCGGGTCAGCCATCTTGCGCGCGGGGAGCGGGAGCCCGAGAGGTGCCGGCCCCGGGGCCGCGGACCGCGGGCTGCGGGCCCAGGAGGCGCGGGAGGAGGCGGCCGCTGCTGCCGCCCGGGGCCGCGGGCGCTTCCCCTGCGCCGGCTCTAGCGGCCGCGGCGCGCGAGCTGGGGCTGTCACTCGCCCAGCTGCCGCGGCTTGTCCAGCTGCGCTTGGCACCGCTGGCCCCAGCTGCGGGGGTGGGAGGCGGAGCCCCGGGGAGGCCCCGCCTCCCTTATTTGCATCGCGCTCAGGCCCCGCCCAGCGCCGCCAGCTGCTTTACATATTGGCACCCCGAGGCTGCCGGTCTCCCAGCTAAGTGTTCCCAGCCGCAGCGCTGCGGCGCGGGGATCGCAGTCTGCGGTCCTCAGACCTGAGGCTCACTCCCCTCCCCGTCTTCAGTCCGGGGTCGCATTAAAGAGATGAGCCCCTGGGGTGCGCCCCAGGGAAAACGAGGGTGGAAGGACCAACGGGGACCGGGAGGTGGGGGTGGAAAGGGTGGGACGCAACGAATCCACGCGGTCCTCTGCAGAGACCGGTACCCATCCACCCCCTCTATCCCATTGGTCATTCTGCGTGTGTCTTCTGAAGGGATGGGCTTCCGCTGTCACTCATTTGGAAAGGCCTGTGGCTCCACACACTTACACACATACGCACACACGTACTGCAGAGGTGCAGGATGAATCTATATTTTACATATACCTCTAACTCCTTCACAAGGACAAGTCTTGGTTTTGCTGGCCTCACCATTTAGAATAGAACTTCCTACCTCCTGTCTAGACCGTCAGAGACTTGGTTTCCTGGACGGTAAGATGAGGCTAATTAGAAAGTAGGGAGGTTGTAATAGGTCGTTATTTCCTCAGCTGTCATTCATTCCAGACACATCTTGCAAATTGTGTTTATCTTTGCACATTATTTAAAAAAAAAAAAAACAGCTTATCTGGCTTCTGAGTTTGAATAGTTTGAATAGCAAGAGATACCCATGTATAAAACTCTCTGGGTGCTGTCACCAGCCTAGAATATGTGTATGTGAGATCTTTTTTCTAGTTTGTTAAGATGGGAAATTAAGGAAGGCTGAAGAGGTTAGATAAAGGCACTAATACCCAACACTACCTCCCTCCTGTCTGGAACCTGAGGAATGGAAGGCAATCCAATGAGTAATACTTGCTTGGACAAATGAGTCTAGGGACATGGGGCCCTGTCCACACAAGCATCTGAGCACCCCCCCACCACGCCCCTGTCTCTGGAAGCAGCACCACAGACCAGAGACTCCATCACTAGGGTTAAGCTTTGCTCACCATTGTTCGACCAGACCAAGCTCTGTGCCAGACCCACCTAAGGGTTCAGTGAGCATTGGTTGAATATGTGAATAAACAAGCTGCATGAGTGAACAAATGTCTGAAGGAATGGAGGGAGCCAGGACCCATGTAGCCAACTCTTTTTATCTTAGAGAAGCCAGAATCTGGAGATTTAGGTAAAATTTTACCAAACATGAGCCCAAGAATTCTCTATACTGACTGAAAACAAAACACACAGGTGTAGCCAAGGAGCAGCAGTTTGAACCCCCTGCTGTATAGGGATCTGGGACCTGTGGGACCTGACCTGTGTTCCCCATTTTCAGAAGATGTGGCCTCACAGGGAAAGGAGTAATTCTTTGGCATCCACCAGACTTGCACCCCCAGGCCCAGGCCCTGGGAGTGAGTTATTGGGTAAACAAGTGAGTGAATGAAAAGTTAAAGAACTGTACCCCTCCCCTCCACCATGTCCGGCAAGTATAATAATAAGCAGCAGGTACCAGAGGGGTGTCAGGTCCTTGCTGTCTCATTTACTTCTCCCAACAAGCCTGTGTCAGCCCGTTGTTAACCTTCAAGGAAGACAAAGACAGTGAAGCTCAGAGTGACTAAGATATGCTGAATGGCAGCTAGGCCTACCTACAACACTCTCAGGTGAGAACGAAGTAAAGGGATGCAAGGTGGGGCAGAACCAGCCTCACAGAACATCTGCCTAAACTCAGGTGCCACCATGAAGACTTTGGCTGGAGGCTGCGAAGTAGAAGTTAGGTGGCTTGTTTGTTATCAGGTAGCATGTGGGGCTTGATGGCTGTAATTATAGACTGTCCCTCCCCTGCATAGTGATCCAAAGGTAACTAGGAAAAAATAGCATTCACTTTTAAGGTGGACATGTTTGGGAAACTGGACGTGCCTGTCTATTATTAGTCCTCTTAGAGGCCCCATCACCTCCCAGAGAGGCTTGGGAAAACATCCCAAGAGACAAGAGACACTGCTGCTGCAATAGATTTCCTTTGAACAACGAGCTGGAAGCCAGCAACCCACATCCTGCCTTTTGAACCAAGTGCCCTGACTGACTCTGGTCTGTAACAACAAACTACCTCACCGGGTCTGGGCCTGGAGATGCAAGGCTGGTGGATGCCAAAGAGTCACTCCTTTCCCGGTGGGGCCACATCTTCTGAAAATGGGGAACACAGTTCCCATGGGACCCAGATCCCTATACAGTAGGGGGGTTCAAACTGCTGCTCCTTGGATACACCTGTGTGTTTTGTTTTGTTTTGTTTTGTTTTGTTTTCTGTCAGTACAGAGAATTTTCGGGCTCGCATTTGGTAAAATTTTACTTAAATCTCCAGCTTCTGACTTCTATAAGATAAAAAGAGTTGGCTACATGGATGCTGGCTCCCTCCACTCCTTCAGACATTTGTTCATTCATGCAACAATGAACTTATTGAGGACCTGCTGTGTGCTGTTCCACACATTTTTAAATAAAACAGATAAAAGGCCCCGCTTTCATGGAGCTTAGAGTCTAATGGGGAAGGAGGACAATAATCTTATAAATTAACAGAGCTACACCAGGTGGCTATAAAGAAGAAAATAAAGCATGGTAAAGAACGAAGAGTGACAGTGATGGAGAAATCTTGGTGATATGGGGACATCAAAGCAAAGTGAAATGAAGGGGTGAACCACAGGGTCATCTGAGAGTAGGAAAGTGTGAAGAATGAAGAGGAGAAGCAGCAAGTTTTCCTTACAAAGGACCTGGAAGGTGCACAGCATGGTGGAGAAGCAGGAAGGTGGCCTCTGTGACTGGAGTGAGACAGAAGAGAGCGCAGGAACAAGACAGGTTGTTGAGACAGCAGGGCTCCTTATAGACCAGGCAAGGAGTCTGAATTTCACTCCAGTGAATGGAAGCCGTTGGAAGGTGGGGAACAGAGAAGGAAGAAGTGAGCTGATGTGACTGAAGTTTTGTTTGTTTGTCTGTTTTTTATTACCTGTGTAGGCTGTGGGAAATAGATTGTTGGGGAGAAAGGGCATAACTGATATCAATTGAGTAGATGAGGCAAAAGATAAAGACAAGTGGCCACACGAAGCTAAAGGGCAGTGAACCCTACAGGCTAGACCCCACTAGTCACCAGAACCCCCAAGGGCCCCACTGGCCACTGCTTATAAAGTAATGAGGCGTTGAGGAGGCATGTTGTTCAGATTGAGAGGTCTCTTAAGTCCAGCTTTCAAAGTTCCTCTTTACATTGCTTCCTTATGGCTTCTACAGCAAATTATCACAACCCCAAATGGCTAGAGGTAACAGCAATGTATTCTTTCAAATTCTGAGGCCAGAAGACTGAAGTCAGGGTAACCAAGTCTAGGGTTCTACTCCCTCTAGAGACTTTAAAGAAGAATCCTTGTTTGCCTCTTCCAAATTCTGGTGGCTGCTGGCATTTCTTAGCTTGTGGCCTCATCACTCCCATCACTGCCTCTGTGTTCACATCAGCTTCTCTGTGTGTGTCTGTTTTCTCTTCTCTCTATTTCATATCCTCAGTGTATCTCTTACAAGGACACTACTGATTGGCTTTAGGGCTCACCAGATAATCTGGGGTGATCTCATCACAAGACCCTTAATTCAAAGACATCTGCAGACTTCTTCTAAGAGAGCATTCATAAATTCCAAGAATTACAACATGAACCTATCTTTTTAAGGTGCCAACAATCAACCTATTACAGTGCTTAACCCTGGGGAAGTCACTTCTTCCTTCCATGTCTCATTTTCTTCCTATGTAAAACACAGACAAGGATGTGGCAGTTCACCTTCCAAAAAAAGCTTTCCTTGCAAGACTACACTGTTCTGCGTAGTAGGCCCAAGCCATGTGTGATTACTGAGGAGTTGGAATGTAATAAGTTTGAACTGAGACGTAGTTTCAAGTGCAAAATGCACCCTAAAATATCAAGTAGTGTGAAAAAGAATGTAGACCCTTCCTAGTGGAATAATGGGTTAAAATGTAGCACTACAAGCCAGCCTCTTCCATGTAAGTTCAATCTCCAGCCCCGGAGGTGACCCACATGGCACGGCAGACCTCTCCTGACCTGCCCGCTGCTCCTCTCAGCAGTGCGCTCCGTCATTCTACCTATTCTGCTCCCCACTGTCTCTGGTGAATCCTCTCACCACCCCTGCACCTCTGGCCTAGACCCCAATTCTATATGCATAAATAAAAAAATCTTTAAAAAAGAAGGGGAAAAGAATGTAAAGTATCCTGTAATATTTATTGTCACTGCATGTTAAAATTATATTTTCTAGGTAGTGTGCTTAAATTAAACATCGCTCTGAAAGTAATTTCACCTGTTCTTACATACTTCTTTTAATGTCGGAACTGTTTTTTTTTATCATCTCTTTTTAATCTTTTTTTTTTTGAGGTAACATTGGTTTACATTGTTGCTTGTGTTTTAGAAGTATAGGATCCCCTCCTTCAGGTATAATTACCACAGTACACCCACCACCCAAACACCCATACTCCACCTTCATAATCCATTGTGGTTTTCACTTTTTTTTAAATAGCTACTGTAATATGTAAAATTTGATATAAGGCTCACATTGTATTGGGGGGAGGGAAGTGCTCTTTCTAAAATATAGATTAAATAATATTATGTGTATTAATAAAAATAAGTGGATATTACAATAAAATTCATCTCTACTCTTTGTGGCACCAGCAGTGGTGGCTTGACTGGAGGCTGATGGCTCTGCTTTGAAGATGCTTACTCACTAGGCTGCTAAATTAGTGCTGACTGTCAGTTGAGATCTCACCCAGGGCTTTGAGCCAAGAGCCTTGGTTCCTCTTTACGAGGACCTCTCC